TGCAGCGCATCCGATGCGCTCAGCAGTGTTTGTTCCATTTCTTACTTAGTCGATTGTGCGCGGCGGCGTAGTGTGCATGCGTTTACTTGCGCGGCGATCTTCATGGCGACTTATTGCGTTTCTTGTGATTTTAAGTTAGTAGTTGAATTATAATCAGTCATCAAAGATAAGATTTAGAAATAACAGACAAGTGCGGCCTATAGTTAATGAGTTATCGCGCGTGGAACCAAGAATTTCGTGGTTTTACAACGTACGCACCACGTGTTTTCCGTCGGCCGTCGGATATCTTTTGTCGGCTATGAAATACTCAGGCTTGTTTCGTGTATCCATTTAATTATTAATTTGAATAAACATCATTTGTGCATCGTATGGAATATTTCATCTGCGAACACGTAAAAAAGTATGTAACATAAAAACTATATTCTATTACAATTCGACGAATTAATCAGTCAAATGTGGATTTATCACCTTATAAGGAAAAACGATCAGAAAAATTAGTTAACACTTTAATACATAGTCGTCACATGGTTGAATATAATAACCTTTGTAATTTCTAAGTATTGGAATATTGTCGCGTTCCGTCGGCTGCGCATTCGCTCTCATTCGGGACTTTTTCGTACCTCCTTTTTGCTTTTGTATTCATAATTCTGTCTGTGCTAATATGTGTGTTTAAGAGATCTGAATTTAGTATTTCTTTAAAATGTGTTTAATAAATTTGTAATTATTAGCAATTGTATTATTTATTATGTTTATATTCATGTACTAAGTGATAAGTACATGAATAGAAACTAGATAAACAGTAGAAAACAGGTAATAAAACATTCACTTTTTATTTTGATTTTGTATCACCCTGTATATACATTTTTCTTAATGCTCTGCGAAAAATGAGCATAATTATATTGTTTCGGGGCGATTTTCTTTTTCTAGTTTTCATATGAATTATTTTTTTCAGCTCTTAGATTTCCAATTTAACCAACTTATCTTATAGAGAATTTTCCGTAGATTAAAAGTTTGAAATCCGTTTTATGTATCACTGTATCACTGAAATGGAAGTAAGTGTATATCTTTACTGAGATTTGAACGTGTTTTATAAAGTATACAATGCGCTTTACACACTTCGTGTGTGTTAACTAAGCCTTGTCAGGTTGAGACAATTGTAGAAAACATAATATCGTGACATAATACATCCAACATAAATATTTAAATTTTACTTTTGTTTTTATAAAGTTAATTTGATAATTTATATAATTATTTATTTTAGTTTCACGATGTGTAAAGTTATAAATGTATCACTATAGCACTGAAATAAAAATAAGTAATATTTTACTGTCCTACACTCATATAAGGTGAAAAGTAACCTTTACATAGTACGTTTGTGTTAACTAAGCCTTGGAAGTATAAAAGTATGAGTTAAAAATTATAATAAATAAAATTTCATTTTTCTCGTTATTAAGTTAACGAAATCATTTATACAATTATTTATTTATATTTTAGAAGGTGCTGAGTTGCAATTATTACATTGTAACACTAAAATCCAAGGAAATATAACTTTACTGATATTTAATCATTTTTATAAAGTGTAAAGTACGCTTTACAAACCACGAATGCGTTAACTAAGCTTTGGCAGGTTGACACGATGAAAATGTTAGGTGATATAATACATAAAACATAAATATATAAAAGTTTACTTTTGTTTTATGTAATTAATATAACAACTAATATAAATATTTATTTTAATTTTAAAGTGTGTAGTGTTATAAATGTATTACTCCTGCACTGAAATAGAAATAAGCAAATATTTTACTGTTTTACACCCATATAAGGTGTGAAGTAACCTTTACAAAAATGTTTGTGTTAAGTGAGCCTTAGTTGTTGTGTATAAAAGTACTTCGAAAACTACAAAAACACCCCCAAACTTCAGCAATATTTCGCACATTTTAGTGTTTTCCGATGGAAATTTATGAAATTCTCCGTCGGGTGGTATTTATTTTATGCAGGAATTCGACCTGCAACCCCCGAAAATTTGCATTAAAAAGTGATTTACCCACCGTTTTTCGTGCAATGTTTGGATTTTTTCGGGTTTGCACGCAGTCTTGGCGTCGTAATAACTTCAGCGCGACATCAAATGATGCGGAATTAAATTCTCCGTGGGGTGTAATTTATTTTATGCAGGAATTCGACCTGCAACCCCCGAAAATTTGCATTAAAAAGTGATTTACTCACCGTTTTTCGTGCAATGTTTGGATTTTTTCGGGTTTGCACGCAATCTTGGCGTCGTAATAACTTCAGCTCGACATCAAAAGATGCGGAATTAAATTCTCCGTCGGCTGGTATTTGTTTGATGCAGGAATTCGACTTGCCACACGCAAAAATTTGTATTCAAAGGTGATTTACTCACCGTTTGTCACAGTTTTATGGCCCAAAACCAATAAATTCATTTCTTAGGCAAGAAATATTGAAAGTCAAAGTAGATTTCGTTGATGTCAATTATTTCAACATTGTGAAATTTTAGTTTGGTCTTTTCAACTACGAGTTTATCAGTACGTTTGTGTATAAACAACTTTTTTTGTTCAAGTAACGCGTATTATCGCTACGTACCAGCCTTGTACCTGGCTAAGCGAAGCGCACACGGCAGTCGTTTCACCGCGTGGCCCGCGAACGTGTCTTTCTAATCGCCATGCGTTTAGAGGTTTTAATTGGATTAATCGTCGTGTACTTTTTCGACCATCAGCAAAATATTGCAGGTGTGCATGTTTTGTTTAATGATTAGTGGCGTTTAGAGTCTCCTTAAATAAGAAATACGTGTCCATTAATCTGTGCGTGTGTTTTCAGTTGATAGAATATATTCCAGGATATAAAATCCCCTCGTCAATGCATACCTACCTAGGTTTGTTATTAATTTTTTTACGGGAAGTTACGCTGCTTTAACATGTATGCTATGTAACTTGCATGCATCATCTTGCAAATTACAAACACATGGTATGTAGCATTTTTATCAAAATTCTTGGTTCCGTTTCCGAAAATAACAAGGTTGATTTAATTAATACAAATACTGTTTTAAAAAAGTATCTGAAGATTATTAAAATTGGCAATATTTATATGGTCGACCACGCTCACTTTGCCGTCGGCCGTCGGCTCGGCCATATTTTCGCTGAACACGTGAATGTTTTTATCGATTTGCACTCCTTAGCATCATTAAATTAAGAAGATTTTACTAGATCAAATCTTGTACGTTGAATAGTTTTTCGTTTTCATAGTCTCCGTACATCTTAATATTTACAAAAAAAATAGTTATTTTTATTCTCTCTAACAACTGCATTGCTACGCGCCGTTGCTTGCCGTCATTTATGATGATGCTTCACCCGTCGGTTATTTTATGCAGTTGATGCATCAATTAATAAATATACATTCGCAATATGTTAAAATGTAAGTGTTTTATTTTTGTACCATCTTTTTGCTCAATATTGTTGTTTATTTGTAAATTTCCCTCTTCATGTTGTGAATATTAACTCCTTTTGTAGTTTCTAAAGTTATCTTTTTGTAATACCATGTATATTAATTTTTCTAGCACTACGTAAAAAATCGCCGATATTTGTGAGTTTTTAGTGTTCCTTGTTTCAACTAGAGATTTTCTTTCTGAAACACCCTGTATAGTCATTTTTCTTTATGTCCGTGGAAATTTTGCTTTAATTGTTGCTTTTAGTGTTTTCCTCATTGCTCTTTAAATTTGTTTTGTGACACCCTGTATATTAGTTTCCCGGAGCCTCAGGTAAAAACGAATGATATTTATAGTCTTAAAATGTTTTTTCTGTTTTCACATTAAATTTTTCATTTGTAACACCTTGTATAGTTGTTTTTATTTTCAATCACCAAGAAAATTGGCTATTTGCTGGCATGTGCGCGGCTAAGCAGGTCGTAAGTCCTGTTTCAATATGGCGACATGTATTTTGTTGACTTCTATCATTTCAGGAACAGGTCTCTAAGAGCGTTCCCTCTCTCAGGGGATGATCCCCACTATAAAATTTGTTAAGGTATCCTGTATGATTCGTGTACTCCATCTTTCATTTCAGCTACAGGTAAGAACTTGTAAGAATATTTTTAAGTGTCCCCTCTCTTGAGGCGACTTAAAAATTAGAAATATTTTTACAAGTTCTTAAAAGGATGTCCTTATAAGGAGTTCCCCCTCTCTGGGGGTGATCCCCCACCATAAAAATTGTTGATATGCCTGATAATTTCGGGGATGAAGCGCAGAGACATCGTAGCTGTAGGATGGGCCGGGAGCAATGGAGGTATCGAAGCAGTGGGCGATCGACCAGAGCGTAGACTGTCTTATAACGACACGTGCCAAAAAATTTAAAAATCTGATCCTCCCCTGTTCTCTTTCTTCTCTCTCCTCTCCTCTTCTGTATTCTGTTCTCTTCCTTCTGTCTTCTACTCTTCTCTACTATTCCTTCTTCTACTTCTCCTATTTCTCTACTTGCTCTTTCTTATTTCTCATATTGCCTTCACTTATATTTCAATTTCTGTTATATTTCGTTGCAATTCATATATGCAACCCAAATTACACCTGATATTTTTATATTTGAGAAAAATGCCTTCCATACCTGAGATTCGATCCGTGTCTGCTGGCATGCCAGCAGGTGCACGTCTCCACTCGACCACCGAGTGTTTTTATTGTTGTTATTTGATTCTTCTATTTATGTTTCTACTTTTATCATGTTTTTAAAAACAACAACACAATACAAGTAACAGCAATATATTCTACACGCTCGATGCACTTAAGATTTATATGGAATATGATTTAAGACATCAGTCCTGCAAACGGCAAAGGGGAAACCAGAAAGACATATGAAGAAGTATATAATATTACATTATGTTTTATTTGTAACATTAAAAGCTACATACATTTATTTAAAATCGAAAATCATAGGCAGCTCTAAAATCTCCTGAAAGTAAAACTTGCCTTGTAATACGCGCATCTCAAACATTTCTGCGTATTCGGCAACTGCCGTAAATTAGCCGGATGATATACATTACATTGATTGCGCATATGAAACTCAGCACTTTCAGCTCTCACTCTAGCTTACGCAAAGAAGATCTATCTGTTTCAGTTCATATGGGAGCAAAATGTAAAATGACGATCTAATTTATGTACATTGCGAGAATTTTTATTTTACGTATTCAAAACTTTTAGATATTAACTTGTGTATTATAGATGAATTCTATTTATAAATTAAATTCTTAAATTTTTAATCCCCAGAAACAAATATAAACACGTATTATGGAGATAAATAAAAAGCTAACTCGACTAAAAACAAAACAAACGACACTAGCGCAACCTATGCGTGTTATTTTAAACTAATTGATGTATGGATATGAAGTGCGCTAGCGCCATCTAGTTTGTGGGGAACTAACTACGCCAAGTGTAGCAGGAAACTGCAAAATTGCTAAAGCAAATTTAAAAATGCGATTTAAAAGAGTCAAACAAAAATAAGTACCTCGTTGCATAAAATGCTATTTTTACAGGTTTTGGGCGCGAAAATATTGGGTCGAAGTCATGATTATGTTAAAGAATTACAATACTTACAAGTTGATTGAAGAATGACTCTCCTGTGAGGTCCCGTTCAATTTCTGGAGCCCTAAAACAAACAAAAATCAGTGCTTCGAAACGGATAAATGCAATTTTTATAGCTTTCGCAAATAAAAATAACAAAATCAAGTCCTGAAAATAATATAGAATTATAATACTATCAATTTGATGTAAGAATGACTCTCCTGTGAGGTCCCGTTCAATTTTTAGAGCCCTAAAACCAACAGATATCTATGCCTCAAACACAAAAATGCAATTTTTATGAGTTCCACATGTGAAAATTACAAAACTAAGTCATGAATGTAATAAAGAACTGAACTTTCATCTTTACACGCGTTACTTAAGCTTATCTTGATAAATCCAACACAGTCCGACAACAAATGTAAATTCTTTACAGACAAGTGTACAGCAACACTACCAACTTACAATATCGTTAATCGCAGACTAACTCCAGTATCTTAAACGACTCTGGAGGAGATCAAGGCGATGCGGCTGGAGAAAGGACAGAACTATGAAACAAAAGTATCACCATTAGTTTTCAGTAAAAGTCGGGATGCGACCATATTTTTCTTGGATTCCGCTCCAATCATACATAATGCACACCAATGAGATAACACAATAAGACTGTATGTGCAAAACGTTCCAAGTACTAAAATTAAATCTCAATTAGTGATAATTTTCTACAAAGATTGAAGATTGTCTTACCATACTTTCATGGAGTCCTAATGACTTATCCTATAGCAGATAACTGAAACATGGACAAGATGTGACAGCTAAAACAAAAATACAATAGATAAAATAATATCTCTAGTTTATAAACATTTAATATAATTATATATTTGAAGAAAAAGCAAAAAAATCACAAAAGATTTTTAAAAGTACCCGGCGAATTTCCTATATTACAATATCATTTTCATTTGCTGTTCCAAATTATAGGCAACCACATTAAAACTAGCAAGTAAGAAGTAAAACATACCATGAAACACATGAGGCACAAAATTGCCACTCTACAATCATTAAAAACATTCCCGCACGTTGACTTGCCTAGCAGGCAAGCATACGTAAACCTACAAGTACTTATAAAATTGCGAATACACCTTAATTTCCTGCCGGTTACCCAGTAGTGCAGTAAGTGTCCAAGCGCATACTGCTCCATACGTTTTTGTATGTGAGAACTACTTATTTGAGCTTTATTATTTAATTTATAAATCCAACTTACACTACATTAGGTAAGCTTATTATTTACAAATTGATACATTATTAAATAATGTTGTGCAACAATTTCATAATTCCTTGTTGTACACCCTTATAGAAGCACACAACATTTTTAAAATGGATGGAATAAATATTCGTAAGAGATTCCTTAATGAATTCAGACAGTTGTTTGAACATACACCACCTGATATTGTGGAAACAGAACCATCAAGACCACAGTAAGTACTTCCAATTTACAAGATTGCATATTATTAAGAAAGCATTTTGTACTATTAGATTTGTTATTAAGACAATACACACCTTCCTCAAGTACGAAGACAACCTTCATGCACAAAAATTACTGCATGAAATTGAGCAAGTATTACACAAGAATGCTGAAGAAGACAATCTTGAGGCTGTGCCTCTGGCAGTGGTCACTTTGTTGACAACAAAAAAGGAGAAATTTATGAACATGAATGATCCAAAAATTAAACCATTGTTTGGCACATGCTCCTTCAAAACTATACAAGAACTTGTAGAGGTAAGTACTAAAATGTGAAAATAAATTTTCAATTTCATGCTATTAATATTTCATGACACAGAAAGCAGGAGAACTGAAAATGTCACTCTCTGATGACTGTATTCAACATGTATTCAAGAACAAACTTAAACTCTCTGGACCATTATGGGACACAGATGCCTATGAAACAATCAGCCTGTCAGAGTCAGCGAAAGTGTTGGAGCTTTTCCACTTACAGAAAGAGGATATTCATGCAGAAAAAGATGAAATGGCAAAATTACCAAAATTCTCTATGAATTATGAAGAAGCAATAGTGGGCAATGTCAAAGGAAAAGCACTTCTCATACAGTTTTATGAGCAGTATAAAGACACTCTCCAGTTCAATGCTGAGGAATTCACAAGCACTATACATTCAATTTTGTCCAGTGAAAAATCAAGCAATGAGTTACAGAATGAACTTGTTGAAGTCTTAGGGTTTGATGCTTTTGAGCTGATTAGTTCATTGCTTGATAACAGGGACAAAATTACAATTGAAGAGAACAATGAAGTTACACTGCCAGCAGGTAATTTTTCTTTCTTGACTGATATATTAAAAAGAGGCAAGAAGAAAAATCACTGTGAATCTTTTTTGATGTTATGTTTTGTGTTATTTGTTTTTGAGAAGTTCCTGTTTTTATATTTTTAATTGTATGTTACCACACTGTAACATGAAACAAATCAGTATTGCTATTATTAATATACAAGTTTTAATAAAATTGCATATTTTGATTTAGTTGCAGTCGAAAATAGACGCAAAGTAGTTGTAGGCGAAAATTCAAGACGTCAAAATGGTCCAGCTTTCCACAGCCAAATCACAGTCCAATCTGAGGAAGAAAAAGCGCTTGCTAAACAATTTAGGAAAATCGAAAAGAAAAATGCACGATTTGCAGACTATGAATATGAAGATGGTTACGGTACTGTTGAAGAACGCGAAGAGCGTTTCATCAAATCTATGACACAACTCACGAAAAAGAATTATCCGAACGTGTTTGATGAATCAACTGATGTCACAGTCAAAGGCAACATTATATTTATATCTATTTCTCAACCAATTAATAATTTAATTATTATTTAGCTATGATATGCGGACGTCCAGCAAACATCCCCCAAAATGCAATCAGACACACCCGTCCAACCTACGAAGAAGTCACAATTCCGCCCAAAAAAGCCTCTGAAATTCCATTCACGATTGAAAAATTAAGCGTAGGCGCCTTGGACAAAATCGGACAAATGGTCTTCCAGGATATCGATAGTTTCAACACCATCCAGACAAAAGTATACCCAATTGCCTATCACACCAATGAGAATATGCTGATTTGTGCTCCAACTGGAGCGGGAAAAACAAACATCGCATTGTTAACGATCGTTAATCAGATAAAGAACTTTATTATTAACGATGTCTTGAGGTTGGACAAATTTAAAGTAAGTACGCTGATAAAACACAGTAGATTTAGTTTGATTGCTACTTACAAACTTTAAAGTAAGTAATAAAATTAATTTAATGTGTTTTCTTCGCTTAGATAGTTTACATTTGTCCAATGAAAGCGCTCGCGGCCGAAATGACACAGAACTTCGGCAAGAAACTGATGCCCCTGGGAATTAAAGTGAAGGAATGCACCGGCGACATGCAATTAACTCGGCGGGAAATCACAGAGACACAAATGTTGGTCACGACACCGGAAAAATGGGATGTCATTACACGCAAAGGGTCTTGTAAGTCGCACAATAAAATTTTGGTCTAGAAAATGCATCTTACTATAAATTTCATTTCTAGCCGACGCGGAATTAACATCATTACTAAAACTCCTAATCATCGACGAAGTGCATCTTCTAAACAGTGATCGAGGACCTGTAATTGAAGCCTTAGTAGCGCGTACACTTCGCCAAGTTGTAAACTCGCAAAACATGATTAGAATTATAGGATTATCTGCCACTTTGCCGAATTATATAGATGTATCGCATTTCCTCCGAGTTAATCCTGAGGTTGGGTTGTTTTACTTCGACGCACGGTTTAGATCAGTTCCGTTGTCTCAGACATTTATTGGTGTGAAAGCAACTAAACAAATGCAACAACTCCTTGATATTGATGAGGTTTGTTTCGATAAAGTGATCGAATTTTTAAGAGGTGGACATCAGGTCATGGTTTTCGTACACGCGAGAAATCAAACTACAAAAACTGCTAATTATTTAAAAGAAACCGCTCAGCAGCGAGGAGTTTTGAATTTGTTTGAACCTGACAAGTCTTTTAAGGCCAAAAAAGCGGGTTGGGGTGCAAAAGGTTTAGAAAATTTCCTACCGTATGGTCTAGGTGTTCACCACGCAGGTAATTATTACGTGAACGTTCAGAAAACATTAGAAATTAATTTTTAAATTTAAAATCAGGAATGTTACGAAAAGATCGTAATGAAGTCGAGCGTTGTTTCCTTGATGGAGCAATCAAAGTCCTCTGTTGTACGGCAACCCTTGCCTGGGGTGTGAATTTACCCGCACATGGAGTAATCATCAAAGGCACAAGACTCTACGACTCAAAAAAGAGCGCATACGTCGATCTGGATGTCTTAGACGTACTGCAGATTTTCGGTCGCGCTGGAAGACCACAATTCGATTCTTCTGGTCATGGTATCATCATAACCGCCCAAGATAAAGTTACCTTTTACTTATCCGCATTAACAAATCAAATCCCAATCGAGAGTAAATTATTAAACGCGCTCACAGACAACCTAAACGCGGAAATTGTCCTCGGAAGTATTTCAAGCGTCCAAGAAGCTGTGGAATGGTTAACATTCACGTACTTGCATCGAAGAATGAAGATGAATCCTTTGAATTATGGCCTACAGTACGCTGATTTACAAGAGGACCCGAATTTGAGGTCGGCCATGTTGAATTATGTGCACACTGCTGCTAAACTTTTGGATAAAGCGCACATGATTCGCTATGATTCGAAAACCGGAGACTTGACTTCCACGAATTTGGGTCGCACGGCTAGTTATTATTATATTAACTTTGATACCATTGAAGTATTTAATGATACGATGAGTTCAGCGATGACGGAAGCTGATATCGTGGGAATGATGTGTTTGGCGACTGAATTTCAACAAATACAGGTGCGAATTGATTAAATTGTATTAATGATAATTTTAAATAATGAGAAAATTTAGGTGCGACAAGAAGAACTTGAAGATTTGGATGATTTACTAGATAAATATTGTGAATGGAAAGTTCCTGGTGGCGTTGAGAATGTCCACGGCAAAGTAAACATTTTAATGCAGAGTTATCTTTCGCGAGGATACATAAAATCCTTGTCACTTTCATCGGACATGGAATATATCACCCAGGTATGTAAAATACAAGAATGTTATGCTTTTTTGCACTAAAAAATATTTAAATTTTAGTCTGCCGCTCGAATCGCACGTTCTTTATTCGACATCGCCATCCATCAAAACAAAGCTATTCTAGCTGGCCGTTGTCTTCTGGTTGCACAAATGTTTGAAACACGTTTGTGGCCATTCGAAACCCCTATGCGACAATTCAAACAGTTGGAAGTCACCGTTTTGAACAATATCGAAGAATTCAACGTGCAAATATTCGATATGAAAGAAATGGACGAGCGACAAGTCGGAAACATGATTAGAAACGTACGACTAGGATCGAAAGTGAAACAATGCGCTGAGGCTTTTCCTTACGTGGACATCGACTCGAAAATTCAACCGATTACGCGGGGAGTTATAAGAGTTAAATTGTTTATCATGCCTAATTTTAAATGGAGTGTAACCCACCATGGTAAAGGAGCTGAGTTGTTTTGGGTGTGGATTGAAGATCCTGATACAGATCAAATCTATCATACTGAAACTATTAGTATAACACAGAGGCTTTGTGTTGCGGGTGATCCGATTGAATTGGTGTTTACTGTTCCTCTGATTGAGCCAAGACCGAGTCAGTATTTGGTTAGAGTTAGTAGTGATAGATGGATGTGTAAGTATTAAGTATTTTTTACTTATCTTCAAGTTATTTATTTTTTGTTAATCTATTAGATGCTGTTTATACTCATCCGCTGTCATTTATGAATCTACAACTACCGCAAAGTTTCACCCCACATACCGACCTGTTAGAACTACAGCCATTGGAAACATCAGTGTTAAACAACCCGTTGTACAAACAATTATATCCGTTTAGTCATTTCAACCCGGTGCAGACACAAATCTTTCATTGTTTGTACCATACTGACAATAATATACTATTGGGAGCGCCTACAGGATCAGGCAAAACAATTGTTGCCGAAATTTGTATTCTAAGACTGTTTAACAACAATCCCAATCTGAAAGTTGTTTACATCGCACCTTTGAAGGCGTTGGTCCGTGAACGTGTCGATGATTGGAAGAAAAAATTCAGCGGAGAGTTGAAAAAAAACGTGATAGAAATTACGGGAGATGTTACCCCGAGTGGATCGACAATTGCTGCAGCCGATATCATTATCACCACGCCTGAAAAGTGGGATGGTATGAGTCGTGGGTGGCAAACCCGTAACTTCATCCGAGATGTAGGTTTGATGATCATTGATGAAATTCACTTGTTGGGAGAGGACCGCGGCCCCGTTTTGGAAGTGATCGTATCGCGTACAAATTTTATTTCTGATCGCACCGGAAGAAAGATGCGCATCGTTGGGTTATCTACAGCTATGGCCAATGCGAGAGACTTAGCTACCTGGTTGGGCATTTCAGAGGTAATAAAAAGATGAAATTTATATCTCAAGAGAAAAACATTTTTTTGGATGATTTCAGATGGGTTTATACAATTTCCGACCTTCAGTTCGCCCTGTTCCACTTGAAGTGCACATTTCCGGTTTTCCAGGGAAACACTACTGCCCGCGCATGATGTCAATGAACCGTCCGACGTATCAGGCCATCAGACAACACGCTCCTGATTCTCCTACTTTAGTATTTTGTTCCTCTAGGAAACAAACGCGTCTGACAGCTTTCGACCTCATCACCTACCTCGTCACTGACACAGACCCTAAACAATGGTTACATTGCAAAGACGAAGACATGGAGAATATTCTCACCAGCGTACAGGACCCCGACCTCTGTCAATTCTTATCATTCGGAATTGGTATACATCACGCTGGATTACAAGAACGCGATCGGAAGACAGTCGAGGAACTTTTCGTAAATCAGAAAATTCAAGTGTTAATTGCGACGGGAACACTCGCATGGGGTGTCAACTTCCCAGCGCATTTGGTCGTCATCAAAGGAACGGAGTACTTTGACGGCGCAACGAAAAGATACGTCGACATGCCGATTACGGACGTTTTACAAATGATGGGACGTGCTGGCCGGCCGCAATTCGACACGAGCGGAGTGGCATGTGTATTCGTGCACGATATAAAGAAGAACTTCTACAAGAAATTCCTCTACGAACCTTTCCCTGTCGAGTCGAACTTATTGCAAGTGCTGCCCGATCACATTAACGCCGAGATTGCGGCTGAAACAGTCCCGACCAAGTCGAATTTGATGGAGTACATGACATGGACTTACTTTTTCCGTCGACTATTGGAGAATCCCACGTACTACAATCTTCCCGACGTGGAGCCACAACACGTCAATCAATATCTATGTGATTTAGTGGATTCTGTCCTGGATGTGCTACAGGAGAGTAATTGCGTGCAAGTTTCAAGCGATGTAAGTGAATTTCACAAAAAAACAACATGGCGGAAGTCAATATAAATAGCTCCGCCATTTTGTTATTATGTTTTTATAGTTGGTAATTTATTTTATGCGCGCAGGAGAATAACGTCTATTACGAGTCGACGTTTTTCGGGCAAGTGGCGTCCTTCTACTATCTCTCGCACAAAACGATGCTGCATTTCCAGCATAGTTTGAAGCCGAACAGCAGCATGCTGGACTTGATGACGATCATGTGTCGCGCGCAGGAGTACGCGCTGTTTCCGGTGCGGCACAACGAGGATAAAATTAACGCGTGAGTACTATCGCCGGCGTCGAGTGGGATTGCGCAACGATGCAATTTATTTTATGCCTTTGCAGCGATATCGCCAAGCGGTTAAACTTGAAATTGCACGGCGAAGCCCTAGATTCCCCGCACGTCAAGGTTTACATTTTGCTCTACATGTATCTGAGCGATCTGGAATTACCCAATCAGGAGTACATTGTCGACTGTAAGAGCGTCCTGGATCAAGCATTGAGAATATTACAGGTAATAACGACACATTGTAAAATTATATGAACGCTACAATGAATATTCTCATAGGCTATGATCGACATAACATCGAATGCCGGTTGGTTAGCATCTACGTTAAGAATTATCAATCTGATGCAAATGATGGTGCAAGGACGATGGATCAACGAACCCGACCTGCTTAACATTCCCAAAGTGACCAGCGCGAGTTTACCGAGTTTCCTGCGAGAAATCCAAACGCAATTTAAGGATACAACGATTGACTGCCTAGCAAAATTGCGTTTTGCAGCGATTAGAGACGAACAGCACCTACACAAGGCGTTGATAAACGTTTACGGGACGCAGGCGGCTGATGGCATGAAAAAGTTCGTGCGGAATTTGCCGTGGGTGGACGTAACGTTCACGATCCAGGCCGTTGATGATGACTCAAGCGCCGCGCAAAAAGATGATATCATCCTGGCGCCTGGAACCGAGTACAATGTTCAAGTCGATTTTTACCGAAAGGGGGACGTGTCCTTAGAGGTGCAGAGCAAAAAGTTCCCGAAACGCAAGGACGAGGGATGGTTCCTGTGCGTCGGGTTGAAAGAAGAACTCTGCGGTATTAAACGTGTCAATATCAAGCGGAAAGGCAGCTCTAGCGTACGACTTAGAACACCGAATTATCAAGGGAATTTTGTTTATACACTGTTTTTGATATCTGATTCATATTTGGGCCTGGATCAACAGTACGACATTCCGGTACAAATTAAAACCTCCCAATAATTATTATTATGAAAGAAAAGTGCAAAACTATCGAAGAAGTCAATGTAATTGTGATATTTTCCTATTGTTATCATGAGTAAATTGTAAACAAGTTGAGTTTATATGAAGCAATGGTGTCATTCAAGCAGATACGACCTACCTACGATACTCATCCTATGATACTCAATGCCGCCTCGCAAATTGTATAATTCCTCGCATCCTTTTTAGCTCTCCTCGCTGCGTGAGTAAGTAATTCAACTTTACTTAAAAGTGCACGCGCTGAAATTCGCACGTACATTCCGCGAAAAATGTGCGTCGTGCGTGCGTTTGCGGCGTTCGCGCTCCTGATTTTAGTCGCGGCTGCGGAAAATGCCACCGAAAGCAATGAGGCGCAAACGGACAGGACGAGCGGAAAAACCTACTTCATTCAGCTGAAAAAAGTGCTCTCTTCGAACACCGAAGACGGCGACAATGACAAACAGTACGTGAAGATAAATCACTATCGGAATTCCCCGGACGTCGAAGGATTCAAGGAATTCAAAGAAGTACACGAGGAGGAATTCCTACGCAAGAAGTATCATGATTTGTTCAGCGTCAACATGCCGGAAAACATTCGCGATGCTACCACTGAAGATGTCAAAGTAAGTTTTTTTTTCAAAGAAAATAAATCATTTGTTTGTAAACAAACGATATACGAGTATAGTGATGTCATCCATATTGGTTTGATGGTAACAAAATATTGTTATTATGTTGAACAATGCATTTATGACTTGTTAGCAATTAGATAAAAAACGCAATCCGAGCCGAATCGACGACGAATGGGTGTTAAACACAAACAGAAGCGTCTATGACTTACCTAATATCACGCAGGAGATCTACGAAGCGATGCTGGAGAATAACAAACACAATACAGTTATTAATGCGTCCACAGTCAAGTTTTTCTTCGAACGCGACACGAATCACTCGTCGAATATCGTCCGGTTTAATATCGAATCACTGGTGAACTCAACGGATATCATCGTCGACGCGGAACTGCATGTTTACAGGTAAGCGTTTAACGCGCGACTGATAAATGTATCATGCGTGCAACAATCGGATGTTACTGAGCATGCGCAGTTGACTTACCCCCAATATGTATTTGATTTTGCGTTAACTTTGAATACAACAGGTTGCCCCGAGAAGGTAATATAACAAGAGTCAACGCGTCCGAAAATGTAGTCAGATTATATCAAATGACCGAAAATTCGAGCGAGAATGATGATGAATATAATTCAACAGCAAAACCGGCACCCGACGTGCATAAATTAGCAAATGTTATTTATATCTCATCGAATTACGAAGGCTGGCAGGTTTTTAAGGTGAAAACTGTCGTGGAAAACTGGCGTAATGGAGATGATAATTTAGGATTTTTGATTTCTACTGTCGATGCACATGATCGTGAGGATACCGTTGAGTTTGCGCATCGCGAGCGTAATGGTGGAAAATATCAACCGACATTAGTTGTGTACCTTGATAGGCAAGTTTCGCCAAATCGTAAGTCTATCCTACGTCGCGTGCGCAAACCCTTTCGGCCAATGCGGCGCGGTGACTCACTACCATCGAATCCTTGCCGCCGCCATGTTTGGTACCTCAGCTTTCACGAATTAGGATGGAACAACTTCATCATCGCACCAGGCGGTTTCATGGCGTACAGATGCGACGGCAGCTGTCAATCGCCATCAGGCAGTACTTTCTCCAACCACGGTAAACTACTGAGTATCATGGAGGGCCGCGCCGGAAATGCTCTGATGCCATGCTGCGTACCGAGCAGTTACAAGAGCATTTTGATTATGTTCTACGACAAGGAGAGCAATGTCGTAATAAAGGAATACGAGGATATGGTGGTGAATAGCTGTGGATGTCGTTAACCACGAGGAGATTACATGTTAGGTTAAGTTCGGTTTAATATGTTGAATCCGTTTAATATGATCACATTTTATTGTACAAATCCTATTTACACGTGTTTCATTTATGCATAATCATAATATATACGTTTATATGCAACAATGTGATTTATTTCTCATGCTTAAAGAATGCGAATCGAACCAAAAAAATAAATCATAAACGGAACACAACTAGCGACATCTGCTATCGTAAATAATTAAATTATTCGTTAAATTACTTTACTTAGAGTCTAAAATCATATTTCATTGTACTAAACCTAAAGAAATACGAAAAATAATTGTGAAATCATTTCGATAACCTCTACGTGTGTATTATTTCGATAAATTTAACCTCGAAATTGTTGAAAAATGTCTGTATGTATATCATTTTCTATAAACATTCATATATTTCGTACGCGACATTGAGTCATATTGTAAAACGTGGAAAATAGTTTCATCTGAACGAATTCCACTACATTTGCGATGTTTTGAGCACGACTTTTATGAAATATTTCAGATACAAATCTTTAATCAACTATAGGTAACCCACAGAACATGAGTTGCATGAGTTGTGTAATAAAAATAAACTAACTACTTTCAATCAAATAAAAAAAAAACATTTTGCGAATAAATTTGTATCTGAATATTACAATGTATTGGACCGGTTATACTAATGTAAATAACACAGAGATGTTTAACATATTTGTCGTCAATATTTTCTTTTTAGGTTATAAATTTAGGACTAGAAATTTCATATTCTTTTCGCTTTCTCGCGTTTGACGCACGCTGAGCGCCGCTTTGATGCAAGTACAGTATTATAAATCGATTAAATAGTGTTCTGCTTGTATAATTGTTTAATGGTGTGGTAAACGTGTATACGAATTAGAGTTTAACGTTGAAAGTTACGCAAAAAGGAGTTACGTGTGTCTATAATACACGCATGAATTCGGTTGGACGTCGGGGCAGTGTAGATTTCACGCTGTCGCGCTGAAAACTGACCCGAAACTTTAAGTACCAGTCGGTCTTATCAGTCTTATACGATGAACTTGGGAGTGCGAAAGTTTCGCCCCTCGCATTTCGATCAACACGATGTGAGTCTCTTTAGGGGTTGATTCAGGACATATGGATATGTATTACATAAATTCCGCAATTGCACGCGTCTCCAAACGCGCAAAATCTTGCAATAAATTAAATAAATAGTACCTTTCCGTTACATTCCTCTATAATCCAAGTCTTGAGAGTATGCAGGCGAGGAAAGTTTAAGTTTCTTCGATATCTGAGGGTGGATCCAATGCCGTATGGAGACTCACACTCACTCCCCGATTGAGACTAACAGCTGGATAGAAGACGCCGTAGAGGTCCTGAAAGGCGACGCTGCCTTGCGGCTCTTCATTCACGTAGAAGGAGAGAACATGGCGGTCGAGATCTAAAAGCACTCCGACTGTGCTGCCCACGGCGATGCCGCCATCAACGCGTTGCTCGTGTCCTCCGGCGTGTTGGAACCATGAACGCTGACGGTCGATGTACATTGCCCAACCTTTATCATCTTTTCCTATATAACATAACCAAAAATACATATAATAGATATGAAAATAGGTTATGTTGAAATACAATAAAACTAACCTAGCATTTTATCCCTCGCAACATCAATCCTCGCGATCCCAAACGCAGGATCAGTATCAGCGTCGAATTTGTCAATGGTGAACTCCCAGTAGTGCACCCCACGACTGAGCCCCACACTGCCCAGAGCAACGCGATGCTCCCAGCCCTCTCCGGTGACCGTAACACTGTCTTCGGAATAGTGCAGTCCGGGACCACTCAGGAGAGGATCAAACGCAAACCACGCCACTGTGCGAGACAAACAAAAAGTTAGGAAACAAGTTCAATATTTGAATTGCTGCCAGCAATGTTTGCAATGCTTGCGGTTGCATATGAAGATGATGCTTGCAACAACAAGCGCGGCACGTAAGTGAAATGAAACGCAAACATTGTTTCACTGCAGGAAGGAAGTGCAGCGTGCATTTAATAACGACGTTTCAATTCACTAAAACGCTGTAGACATCAAAGCGGGATAAATAAACGCGGATAGCAATAGTCGCAATAATCTTGTAATAATGCTACTTAGGTAGCAGGCGGCGATACAAAGTTGTGTTCTGCTGTGCTGTTTGTAGTCTCGTGTAGTCCTAGAGCGTCGGTATTAGCCCTTTGTGAGTATTACAGACTGTAATAACTGCTTTGACTGTTTTGTGAAGGGAGAGAGCGAGGAATCGGGAATGCTACTCACCGTCGGCTGTTTGCAGACCGATTAGCTCACTGTATTCGCCCTCGCCGGAGCTGTTGAACGCCTTCACGCGCGCGTTGTACATGCAGTGGAAGTGCAGCCCGTCGACGGTGCAAATGGTCTCGATACCGCAGTAGACCTCCTGCGAAACAAGGGTGAACCATCAGTGCAAAGCGGCCAAATCCTAATCAACATCCTTTTTTGCCTGCGTACCCGCAGCCGCAATTTGTTTCCATTCATAATTAAAACAGTTAGCAAAGGCTAAAAATCGTTAATGGATGTAGCGTTCTATCCGTGATCGTAACTTGTAACGAGGGTTGGGGGAGAAGGGTGAGAGAATATAGAATATCCCCCAGGGATTAGTGCATATTTTGTCTTCCCACCCTACTCACCTAACCTCATCATAAAACTAAATATTACAATCACTTTTAGTTTTCCTGAGAAAAAAAAAACAAAAAAAATGGCGCGCGTGAGTTTTTGGCTCAAATACCTAAGCTCTGTAGTAAAATGTGCATTTAGAACAGTCGTACACAAAGTTGCCGCCATTCACCTCCCCATGCAACCCCCCGAAACGAGCGGCGCACAAAATGAACAATGAAATTTATACGCGCACGAATGTCGTGACGGGATGGCGCGGCAGCGGTGGCGACCGGAAGAGCGTTTGCGAGTTTTATGCTTTTATAATGTTATAAAATCGCAACGTGCGCCGACCGCCGCCGCACGCTGCAATTTACCGCCAATGTCACAGCCAGACAACCCAGCAATTACCTTCGCCACGACTTGCCCATTTGCGAATAAACGCTGCAAATAACGTAAATACGCTCCGAATGCATATAAATAAAGAAAAACACGCCTGACTATCACAGGATGCGATTTATGAGAGATCATGTAAATAAAACAAAATGGCGCTAAATGGCCCATTAAAGCATTCGAATAAATATTGTGAATATTTTTTATAATGCAGAGAAAAAAATTATTGACATGATATGAATAATTAACTCACTCAAAGCCCAAACCGGAGATAGCATTATACATGACGCCATTAATGAATTAATCCGATATTCAAATTCGCAAATCTGAAGCATTCAGAGCGGTTAAACGTCAATTCTGATGAAGACCAGACTGCCGTTTGTGTGTTTGAATGTGTGTGTGGGGTTGGTGGTTGCGCCACCGTGATGAAGAGGGTGAATAACCTGCTGTGCGACGCTTTAATATTCGTAACGCAATTAAATATGACGAAAGCGATTGCATTGCCGGCAGCAATGGCGACCGACGACAGTGGCGCCGCGTGCACGCGAGATAGGCAGTAATTAAAATTATTAATTAACCAATTTACACTGCGCACACACCGACAGGAATACCATTAGTTTAAGATATGAATGCGCGACGCGCAGCGATTTCGATTTCGACACGCAAACGCGCTCTCGCATTCGGTGGCAATTTGTGTCAATATTACGAGCACATAAATTACGACGCGGCGATGGGGACACACGACGATTCACCCGAAACGTGATTAATGACACGGCCATATGTCGCCAATACGAGAATCATGACTCACGCAACACAAAATTACTATATTATACTCCTAGATACCAGGATCCAGAAGTAAACAATATATATTTATAGATAGGCAACCAACCATAGCATTTAAATATACTACAATGTTTTTAATGTGTATTTGGTTGCATATGTTATGAATGTAATAAACTTACCCGAAACTCGCCGCCGTTACCGTCGTCCAGCTCCAATACATAGCCCTCGACGTGTGACTGTGGCGGCGGCTGCCAGGCGACCGTCACCGAATTGTTCTCGGCGCTGCACTCCTCCGGTATTATTGTCGGCGCGGCCGGCGCTGCATGAAAACACGCATTAAACACAACGTGAGCAACATGTGTGATATGGGTGTGATAAATGACCGAAACGCGGTGGCACATAAATGGTGATGACAACATAACGCCACACAAAATTATTAAGTAAACATGAACATATTCTCCAAAAGAAAAATGACTAGTTGTTTAAATTGTTATAAATTACATTCATGCCATGCTATTGTTACCTGCAGGCACTCTTTCTTCGCCATCTTTGTAAGCTATTGCAGCAATTCAACATTTTCATAAAGATTATCATAAGTTAGAGTAAATTAAATCACTATGTGCAACTTACGCTTCATTTGTATAAAGTTGAGCTGATCAATGGCACGATGAACGGATTTATCGTCCAGGGTGAGATCAAAATGTGGTGAAACTCTTGGAGCAGTCCATTCTTTATGCCAGGAGTGATCCGTGTTAGCCACACGTGATATTAACATACCACCAACCTAAATTTTAATAATTTTATAAGTTTTTATTCTCTTTGAGGTTAAATTTGCTTATATTACTTGTAAAAATGCAGCGCTGTCTGTTTCCTTCAATGCCTCAATACAAAACTGTAGTAAACCAGTGGTTTGTTGTAGGCGCACCGTGCAGGTCCCAACTTGCTCCTTCAGCGCCCTCACACGCAGTTCTTTATCCTGCCGGATGCACTCCAGGAGTTGGTTGCGTCGCACGTGTATTGCGTCGATCAGCGCCTCGCATTGCGCCGACACAACGCGCTCGAACTCCTGACAGTTTTCCTGCGAACAAAACCGATCAAAAGTTTAAATTGGCTCGACTATTAACAATAAATAATTTGTGCGCCGGTGTCACAAAACAAAACTTTACACTCATGGTGTTTGACTCGTAATTAAATCGCAATCATTTGTTTTGTGTTTCAGCACAAACTCGAAATCAAGAAATTTAATTAAGTCAAGTTGAAAGTTTAGTTTCCAAGATTATTCTGGTATTGTTGTCGAGATTAGCTTGCTTTATTCGAGTTTATGTTTACGCTCATTGCGATCTTATGAAAAGTGCGCGAATTGTGAGTGTGACCCAGTTTTCTAACGAGTTCGGAATTAATTTCTTCGTACTTACGTTGACTTTGTCGCTCATGCCTTTGAGCCGCTGGATGAATTCCGTGGTGGAGCGCGCCCGCTCCGAGAGCTGCTGAAGATTGTGAGATAATTCAGTCTGCAACAAGAGAACGCAAAACGTCAGATTCGTATCCAGGGCTCGGATTTGCATTGTTGCTAGTCGTTGGAGACTATTGTCCGTCGCGTGCGCGACACACGGCTGCGTGCGGCATGAATATCAGAAAGGGCGATAAATTCTTAACGTTTTAATTAAATCTCCAATCTCACAACTCCGACTCCGAAGCGCACACGAGTTCAATTAAAAGTCGATTGGATTCAAGCATTCAGATGTGCACAAAATTAAGTTAGGCAACACACAATACACAATAATCATGAAGTATAGTTGCATAACTAATATAATAAAAATTTGTTTTAAGAAACAGAAAAAAGTAATTACGTGGTATAAAGGACATGAAATCTCTTTGGAAGGGATTTCACAAGGTGAGTATATAAATTTGTACAGGATCAAGATAAGTAAAAGAGGTTTATTTAAATGAATCCCTGTCGCATCGATGCCCCTTGAAGGTAGACTAGCAGAGAGATTGAGTTATGCACAGGTTGCGCGTTTACACGGATAGCTTCCGGGTCAATTTCGCTTCCGTTTATGCAGAGTCAACCACCCCTGTTGTATTAGCTCGAAGGCAAACATTCGAAGAAGCGTAGATCCGAGAAATCCAACGAAATGCACCCGCCGACAATGCAGCAAACAAGAACAAGCGAATATAGCAGCACTCGTTTCTGTTGAGGTGAAGGCTGTTAAAAGCGCCCTCCCTAGAGTATTTCCCGAAGACCCCATGACACGAACACTCACCACCCTCGCCGGAAACAGAGGTAACCTTAGCACACGCAACATAACCTAACATGAAAGACATTCGAGCAGAAGAGAGGCTGTAAAAGTAATTCCTGCCGTTAGGTGTGAAACGCTGAACATTTTCCACATTCTAAGCGTTTTCTACGTGCGAATATAGTTGAGTCGGGTTGTTTTTGTTGCTTTTGTGGCATTTACCACACGTTTGTGTAACGCAGGGTCCGATATTGAGACGATAGATTGACCTAAAGTGCCGTCCGAGAACTGTTGTGTCCTCTTAATGTCAGCAGACGCCCGACAATGGTGCGAATATTGGGGAATGTTGGTTATTTCCGAAGGGCGACCAACGAAAACTAAAGGAGCAAGCGTTAAGTGTCGCGGCGGTGGTGAAATGAGAGTGGGCCATAAAATGTGCATTAGATTTCGCGCGGTTGGAAAGTTCCAAGGCTATAAATCGTCTAATTTATTGAAAACTCGTATATTTCACCGAAGGTTTATCGATATTTGATGCGGATGCTACCATTATCCACCTGAGAGTGACAACAAAATGGCGTCATGAATCAGCGGAATCACATCTAACCAACAAAAACACACATAACCTGCAAAAAAAAAAAGCAAAACTTTTCACATTTAAACGCTGATTTTGCTTTGTTTGCTTGAAAATTTATTCGAAATACTTCGTTAACTTCGTTATCAATGATGGAGGTCGTAGTGTTTGACCCGTGCGGTCAGTGATAATGTAGATAATGCTAAATAATCTCTTCCTCTCTGTCTGGCGGGCGCGTCCGGGTCGCGTCGATTCCGGCTTTCCGGGTGTCGTGTGACAGCGCAACTCCCATTGTATCCACCTCGCAAGCCTCGCAGACAATGACTTTATAAATATATCCCCACGACACGACACCGCGCGCGGCCAGCTTTTTGCCTCCGCCGGGGTGACAACCACCCTCGCAAGTCATTTATCATTGATCACTGCACCCCCCCCCCCTCCACCACCCACGCAACTTGACAATGCTATCTGGAGCTCATTTCCACTACAATAACTCAGCTGCCGCGGCGGCGATGAGGAAACTTTGATTGCTTTTTGAACGACGCCCAACGATGGACAACATCTACATGCCATGACACCTGCGCTTTGACATGGTCACGATTCACAACGTAGTGCATTAAAAATGTAAAATTTTTCGTCGTGCTTACAAAGTTGGATAGTAAAAAAGAATAAATAGCGGAACTTTGTTCAGTTTGTCGCTTGCATGTTTAATGAGCGAGAAAACTCGATTTGCGCACGGGACGCCTGCGTCCTGCGCTTTATCATCGCTGAATAATCGCATACGTGAGGAGTGCAGGAAGCGAAAGCTGTCGGGGCATAATGTGTGCGCGGTGCATCGCACACCGGGAGGGTGAGCAGCGCCGGCGACGAGGTAATTAAGATTAATTGGAAAATTTAGGCAATTTGGGTAATTGCGCGTCGTAAAACCTGCATCTGCATGCTGCAGCAGCATGAAAGCGTCACGTGTTCAATGACCAAATTAACATTCACATTATTTCCCATCAAAACAACAAAAAGGCAAAATTTTCATTAAAAAGAATTGAATATTTGGTTGCCTAACATTATTTCACATCAAACAACGAAAAACAAAATTTTTACCTATTAAATGTTCTTAAAACATTTTTTAAGAGTTAATGAATGTTGGGTTGCCTAACTAAAAGCTACTCAAACATGCCCCTGTCAGCAACTCGCGCGAAATCTTGAGTTACGCAGCTTCTTCGCTTGTTTGCGAGGAAAGTCTGCGGTGTTCCTTCCGCCGCGCGCGCGGTTTAAGCAAAGCTGCCAAACGACTCCGTCGAGGCGCCAACAAAGCTTCAAACGCAAGCTTACACAAAACCAACGTCCAAACCAGGCGCCCAACTTGCATCCGAACATGCTTCTCGATAAACTTCCGCCGACTTACACCATTATCACTTTAACAACAAAATCCAACTTTAAAAAAAAAAAGTTGACATTTCTAACCGAATACCGCATCAAATAAATGTCTAAATCTAAAATACGCGATTGATAAATTATGTAGAATTATGTAAATTGCTTCAGTGGGCACGTAAGCGTGGAAAATTGAAAACAGAAATTGTTATTCCCGCATTGATTACATCGACGTTTTCAGCTGAGCGTGCATGTTTTTTCACGGTCTCCCGAGCCTGTGCTGCGGAGCATTTTCCGAGGGCGCGCGCGTTCAACAAGAACCTCGGTAGGTACTCGATGTTTCGTTAGGGTCTTGCTGCGATATGAATTTTCTGATAAACTTAACGCAGGCCCCGGACGTCGAGTGGTTCATTAAATGCACGTGGGCGGCGTCGCATTGTCGAAAATCATGCTCGGCGTCGATTTTCTAATATCGCGCAGCACATAAGTAAGCAGGGGGCGATACGCGCCGATACTCGTCGCAAAGGGGACTTTGCTGACTAAACTTCCCCGCTAACAACATCCCTTAAACTCGAGGAGTGCGGTTCGATAACGTTGCGAGGAGGAGAACACTCGTCGACTGTCGATACACTCAATATCGGCGATTTTATGATTTTATAGAGGGTGGTGAGTGTGCGTTTGCAAATTGGTTCAACTAGCGTGCACAATAGTCGAAAAAAAAAACTGCAAAAATTGAAATTCTGGGGTGTCAAAGTTGAAACATAAAAAAGTGCGTGAAATGCAAGTTTAGATATTGAAATTCTCAACGTTTTTTCCGCAGCGGAAGTTAATTAATACTAAAATAAAAGTTTTATTATTTTTTACTTTTGTTTAGTGTATATATGGTTGCATAGCAAACTTTATTCATTACTTCGAAACTTCCCACTCAACTTTGTACTAAAAACTCTTGCAACTCGCAACAAATGTCTAATAAAACTAAACAAAACAAAAAAAAAATCAGGAAATTAATTTGATTTCCTTTCATAAAATATGCTCCCCTTTCATAAGCAAGGAAAAGCATTCGCGTATTCATTTGACATCTCCACAAGGGTGGAAAATAACTAACTGCGTCTTAAGTATTTATTCGCTGCGGCGTTAATAAATTAAACAGAATTAAGTCGCACGCGCGACCAAAACTTCCTCCTTGGCCATCCCGAGGACCCCATTGTAACCTGTCCAGACATTGCGTTGGTGATAGCATTCGAAGGTCGAGGATATTTACGTAAGCACGACGCACCCACGCACCCAGGAACGAAAAAGGACGAAGGTAACACAGGAAGGAATACGTGGGGGAGACGTTATCGCCGCGGCGCATGCAGACCCTTCGCCGACGTTATAATTACTTAGACTCTTAGCGAAAATATCAAAATATCAAGAATACCAACCAAACCCGCGAGATTGCAAGAGGGGGCGGAAGTCGACGGAAGTTAGGAACGAGTGGTAATTTAGAGTAGCGCAAAGAAACAAAAAGTAAACGCTACGCATGTTACGAATGAAAGCACGAAATGTCGAAGGGATCTAGTATTCAGAAAAGGAGAAACATAATGTTTGTGTACGCCTGCCAGCCCTTTTCTTGTGATTTCCTCGTTTCCGCGCGCCGAGCGTCTTTTAAAACAATTACCTTCGCATTAGGAGCGAAACCAAGGACGCCGACTGCTCAAAAACTCGCCTCGTAATAATTAATGACTCTGGTTTTCGTCTGATTGTCACGGCACGACGTCGCGATGACAATCATGACGAATAATGATAAATTACGCCCTCGTTTTCTTCAATTTTCAACTCGCAAAACAAAAAACTAATCGAAATTCGGTGTAATTATGCAACCCATTATACAAATGTGCTGTATTTTAAAATTTACGAATTATTTTTGCGTAAATTACATTCGTGGTGTTTGTAATAATTAATTATCATGTTTTCAACCCCTTTGGGAAGAATAATAATAATAACGAATAATGAATCGAGTCGTGTTTCGTTGTTTTATTCCAATTCGTCACACTGACAGCGAAATTCCGTCATTAAATTTCTCAAAAAAAATCATCACATTTCGATGCACAGAAGAACGCTTTAAAGTGTGGTTTAGCGTCGGAAAAGTTAAATGGAAAGCATCCAAGGCGAAAATTAAACAATCGATCGATTAATGGAATATAAATGGAATAGAATCCAAGATAAACTTGAATTTTTTTTCCGTCCCTTTGCGAATTCCATGCGACATTCGACGAAAAACCACACGAAATGAAGCGCGGTTCAAGCACGAGTATAAATTCAACCAGAAGAAGGACGCACGAATCTTGTGAGTACTTTAAAATCTCAACTTTTTCAACTTTCGTCGGAGTCGGGTTCTAATTTCGAAAACAAAAGGCAAAAAATTTATCGCGAAACTTCTTTTTGATTTAACTTCTCTGCTCTTCTCCACGTCTCAAGTTAAGAGTTAGAAGGACGTAAACGTGAGGACGTTCTCATTGATTGTTACCACACACCCGCGCGCGCGCGAGGAAAAAGTTGAAAACGTTTAAAGTTGAGACGCTGGAAATGTTTGTGTTTGTGTAAAGTTTCGGTGTCGTTTTTCCAGGTGGGAGCGTGCCGTGCGACATCTCCGAGCGTCTGCAATCGCTCTCGCTGCCAAACAGCCATTTGGTGGAGGCGGTGCTCAAACAACACGAGCACGTCTTCACCGACGTCTGTCGGGATCGACTGCGCAATCTGCTTCAAGTTATTGTCAACTCCAATGCCAGTCATAAGAAACAGATTGACGGGCTTAACGAACAATTAAAAATGGGACACATTAAAGATATCGTAAGGCATTTACAATTAAAATAGTGTATTAAGTTTCAAGTGCACTAAATGGCACTTTAACCACGATATTGCTTAAAATCGAGGCTTTAGTCAATCGAGTATTTAACAATATAGGCGTAAGATCCACACCGTGACTAAAACGCGTGACTAAAGTACTTTAGTCACACCCGTGATTAAATTGACACTTTTCGTTTCTCAAAACCGTGGAAAAAGTGGCAGAAGGAGAAATAAATAAATTTTTAAAATATTTATAGGAAGATAGTATTGAAAAAATGCAAAAAGATGCAAAAAAGAAAAAGAATCAAGCATCTCAAGCACAAATTGAATCCACATCATCTCAACAAGATAGTTTTCAACGTGAGAGAACTTTTACTTATGGCCCGACTACATCAAGTATGATTTGTAATGTAACATCGTCAGTGGCAGCAGAGGATATTACCGATGAGAAACCTAAGAATATGTTTATAGTTGGCAAAAAGAGCGAAATTAAACTAACGCCATCTGAGGAGAAAACCGTTGACGATAGTTTTGATCAGTCTTATTACGAGGATAAAAAAGTGTTCTCCAAGGGTGAATTATCGAAAATTTACCGCCAAGCAGCAGAAGTTTATCGATTTGAATGTTTCGATACAACGACAGCTTCTGCTTACGGTGATCACGATTCTGATGTGGAAGTAATCTTCGAAGCAAAGGATAAACTAAACGGCAAAACAGATTCTAAAGAATATGGTGACTCTAAAAAAGGACGCAAAAAAGGTTTAAAAACACCGGAAAACACAAAAAAGAAAAAAATTACTACCACTACCAAAGGACACATTTCTCATATTCCAAGAAGGTGAAATGTTTCTTTTTGCAATGATGAATGTGAAATTGTTTTAATTAATTCGTACAGTTGTAGTGTGCGTGCGCGACATTTGTCTTCACTGCGCGAAGAAAAGAAGCCCGCGGAGGAGGCGCGCCGACATCGCAGCGCGCCGCGGCAGGCGACCAACGCCGCCGCCACCACCGGGGGTGGCACGCTTACGCCAATACCGGAGTGTCGAGGCCGGCGGCGAGCGCGCGGCTACTCGAAGAGGAGCGTTATTAATGTGCCGTCGTTCGCACTCAAGGCCTACATTACATTAATCATGGACACGAAGCGCAACTGCATGCTCTACGAAACTTTTCGAAGTAAATCATTCGGAATTCATTTGCGTTTCCGCGCGCGCCGCCAACAACTGAATTCGTTTCAATTAGAAAAAACGTCTTCATAAATTAAACGCGCTAAGATTTTAAGATGCGAGGGTTTAGGTTTTTGTTTTTTGAGAGGGTGAAAAGCTGGAGTTTTTGAGAAAATGAATTTTTTTGCAGAAAAAAGTTAAAATTTGTATCAAAATTCTTAAAAAATTTTAAATCAGAAAAAAATTCTTCATAAATGACACCCGCTAAGACTTTAAGATACAAGCTATCAAGTTTTTAATTTTTTGAAAAGTGAAAAACAAAACTTTTTGACAAAATGAAATTTTCGCGAAAAAAAACTTATTTTCCCCCTAAAAATTAATAAAAAATCCTGTTTTTTTTGCAGAACAACTTATAAAACCAATAGAAGTATACAAGGAACCATACTTGACAGCTGTATATGATTGCTGGATGGATTACATGGTGTATATAAAAAATATTTTGGATTACCTCCAACCATACATCAAAAATTTACTCCACGTGTACTACACGCATCAAATAAGCGAACCAGAATATCGCGAATATGACACACGCATCCCCAAAATGTTAATCAACGGAATAAAGAACATGAAACTATGGCGAATTGCTCTCCACGAAGCAGTTGATTGTTACAGCAAAGTGTTTCCCTGCCTGCCTGATAATTGTGATGTCCACCAACTTTACCGACGTATTTACAAAAAAATCGACGCGTTGCCCAAGATTCCCGAAGCACAACAACAGAAACCCCAACAAAATCTTAACAATAAAAAATGCCAAGCGATGGATTTCATCTAATCATTCGAAAATCACAAAAAATTAAAAAATTTGTAAATTAGTAAATTTTTTATAAAGTTTGTTATCTATTCAAAGTTGTGTTGTTGATGTTGATTGTAAGCCCGTCGGGCATGTTGGAAAAGCTTGTTTTGGTCGTAGTGATAAGGTTGCAGCTTTGATGTCGCCATGGTAACGCCCCTTCCGGAAGGCAACAACACACACGCGTGCGATACTTCAGTTCCTGCTACCAGCACCAAGCCCAGAAGTATAACAGGACGAGCGCGACGAGACAAATTTATGGTTTTTGAAAGTCGTGCGCTCCTTTTCGTCTCTCTGGCGGCGTCTTGCATCGGGAATCTGAAACCGGATAAACACGGACGATTTTCGTAGATGGGCGAGGGTGCAAATGCGAGAAAAAATGTGGCGCCTCATTGCCTTCGCGCTGTTAACCAGCGGGCGGTAATTCGCTTTTCGAGGGTCGTGGCTCTACCGCATGCGGAGGAAAACCCATCGAGCGTGGAAAACGAAGAATACGATGTGCGGTGCGTGTGCGCTGTGGTTTTTGAAAACGAAGGAAACATTTACACGTCGCGGTCGGACGGCGCAAATTGCCGTAATTGCAATGCGCGTGAACGCGTCGGATAAATTATTATTTCACACACCCGCAAAACAATTATCGCTAGGAATAAATTGCAATTCGCGAAGAACAAACACACACAAATTTTGTTTTGGAGCATAAAACATGCCGCAGGAAATTTAACGTAAATAAACGGATGCAAACACCTTCAACTTCTGCAGGATGCAGAATAATGTAGAATTTCATCGCGAGCGACGAACAATGATAATAAACAATACGAAACGACCGCTTTCGGGCATTATCCATTTATACTGAATGTTAAAATAACAAAAAACACAAAAAATGTGTAAATTCGGTTGCATAACATAAAGAAAAAAAATAAACATTTCTTAAATGTCAAATACGTTCATATTATCGTAAAAAAATGCAAACAAAATAACAAAATACCTGAACCCTCGAGGGTCGAGAGAATTCTCGTTGTTATCTTTGCGCTGGAAAATATGCGCTCTGACATGTTTTCCGGTCCCGCTCCCAACTCGAGCGCGTCGGACGTTTGTTATTGATACCGTTGTTACCACTGCCACCGCAATAACTGCATATCCCCGTTTTCCCGGGTTTCCGCGCGGCGAAAAGCCGGAAAATATACACAAGCAACGCAGGGTTACCTACTACGCTGCACTTAGTTCATTATTGTTGCTTTACATCGTAGATTTATTACACTTGCAAGCAGGGTAAACACGAGAACACTCAGTCTGCGTGGAAAAGCTAAGCAAACGCGAGCTTTCGAGGTGAGAGGAGAGTGTTACGACACGAAACGACTCTATTATGGATGGCGGTGCATCAACGACACCATCACCATCGGTCTTTATGAAGGGATGAAGCAGACTGGAGTTTACATCGGAAAATAAACGAATACCTTGACTTTTGAAGCGTTTTTTTTTTCTGTGAAGAATATAAAAATACCTACATTGCATGTCTGGGTGCATAGCACACGGAATTTATAGACCAATTGCTGCCAATTGATTAAACATCAACATTGCGTCACGAAGCGAAACATTTCATTTGTTTATCGTCGTGAACACGCGACGTAGGCCACAAAGAAGTCCAAATTTGGGTCAACAATCAATAGATAAACAGTGTATATTGACAGCAATCATCAAGTCATCAACGTTAATAAATAAGTCAATAATCAAACGAATAACAAGCCGATGAAATGAATATATCATAATAAATGACGCTGAAAATTTTAATTAACTTATTCATTTCTTGCATATTCGTATTTTCCTTGTTGTTGTTTACCGTTTCAAAATAAAAATTCTTTGTTTTTTCTCATTTTAATGTCTCGCAGAATGAAAAAGAAATCGCGCGCATGAATTTTTATTAAAAACGCTGAAGAATTTTTTCTTGTCGCACGAAGGTTGTAAGAGTATTTCGATGTGTAAGCTAAGTTTTTTTCTGTGTGTTATTTTGTCCTTTCTTGGCTTTGACTTTATGCATTCCGCGCAGGTAAGAGTAGAATGGAGCAGTTTTGCCCCGGTGCTGCCTGCGTCTATTCGTACACAAAAGTTGCGTTATTAAATTCTCTTTATGCAACGACGCGACGACGCAACGCAAGCAAAGTTTTGAGCGTATGCATCAGCAGTGGCAGGAATACGAGTATCACAGGAGGAATTCATGTACATGCACATGCATGCGATGCAGCGTATGAATTCAGTTTTTCTAGGCAATTTCACGGACGAGATTGCTTTGTTTTTTTTTTCGATTTATTTTTCGTGCGCTTGCTGGCGGATGAAAGCGTTTTTAATGCCGAGGATCCTTTTTGAATGCATTTTTATTAACTCAGGCAATCAACTCTTGTTTACTTCATTTTTAAATTGGAAGAATAATTACGTAACTAGAAAAATGACTTGATTTTAATTAATTTACCATCACATGTTTATAAGTAGATGAAGAAGCAAAAAAAATGAAATAGTTCAAGTTAATATAAACAAGGTTTTAATTAAACTTAAGTAGGATACGATCGGAACTGCAGAGTGCTGAGGAAAACCAGATACAAACAAAATCGACGCGTGCTGATTGAAAAGATGATGCAAAAGATAATTTCATGTTGATTGATATTAAAAGTAAAGTTATAGCGTTATTTATCAAGAAGTTGAAGATGACTTTTGATTAAATATTAGAAATAAGTTACTTGCGCATATTCCATGTCATTAAACTTTTCAATATTTTATCATGAAATAAAAAAAATATATTTTTAGGCCATAAAACATATATTTTTGGATTTTCCTTTCCTTTTTTCTACTTCCACCTTTAAGGTGGCACTTTTTCCATGGTTTCAAGGCACAAAAAGAGGCACTTTAATCATGGACGACCAAAGCCGTGACTAAAGTACTACAATTCAAAGTTTTAAAGTACAAAAGTTCAAAAACAAAAATCTAAACGTGAAAATAAAGTCGAAGTAGAAAAAAATGCGTAACTAAACGTGGTTAAAGTACCGTTTAGCGCACTTAATACTTAATATACTATTTTTGTACTACTACTGTAGTAAAATATTGATTAAACCTTCTTTGAGCACCCCGTGGACTCATTTTACGCACTTGTCTAACAAAATATTCACTATTATATATCATCCCATGTAAACTTAATTAAAAACTGTTTGATCTCGAATTCAAACCCGGTCCTTTAAAACACGCTAAAAAGAAATATATAAAAATGAGCGAGAAAAAATCCAAGGGGCAAAGTAACGAGACGTAATTCTATTATTTTTGAATCTCCGAAATTCCACGCGCGCGCCGCTAATTAAACGCTCTTCTCTCTTCCGACTCTCCTTTTAATTTCGATCCTCGCACATTTCGACACTTTACCCTCGTCTACCAGCCGCCCTGCCATCATCTTTCCGTGCTTGTTGCTGCTTTTTGTAGCTAGGTAGAACAAAATTCATTCATTCAGGCCTCGTTTTATTTTCATAACCTTTGTATCCTTTATGAGAGCCTTCTGACGCTCGCGTCTTATTTGAATACTAATAATAATAATAATTGTAACAGAATGAGAAACATTCATGCGCCACAAAGTCGCATAAAAAGGAGTGTTTTAAGGAATTAAGAATTTATGCGCTAAATCTGTCGTAACCTTTCATTATTTTTTGCATAAAAGCTAAAAGAGTAAAAGAGGAATAATTAACTTTCAGTAACAAAAAAGTTAAAGACTTTTTTTACATTGTATCACAAGTAAAATGTGGAATTTGGGATAAAAAATTGATTCATAAATAATTTTTGTTGTGATTACGCTGGATTCTTTCGCTTTTATGGTCCACTCAAGTTTTATCGATGAAATTCCATTATGCCACATTAATGCAAGCCATTGTTATGCTTATTTCGCCATGAAAATGAGCACAGAGCCAGCAGCTGAAATGTAAATCACGTCTGTTTGTTGTTTTTTGAGTCTACCCCTAGGATAGATCTGCTCTTTTCATGCCCGATGGCATTGATAGACGCGATTTACATACAAAGACGGCGCATTATGCGGCGAAAAGCGAGAGAAAACAACGCGTACGTACATCTGCATCAAGATATTAACGAGACTATTCAAAATTGAGAAGTGCGCATCCCCAATTTATACTCCCACAACAAACATATATGAAGAATAGCAAAAGGAGATATTCATGTTTAATATTCTTGTGTGAAGTATAAAGAACCGAAATGGACACGGCAATAAGTGAATGAAGTGAAAGCTTGAAAGCTGTGGATTTATCAGATCGCGTGTCGTGCACCAGATGACAGGCATGAGACCAGCAAAAAAAAATAAGAGAAACGAATACAAACAGCTGGCTATTATGTAAGAACAAGACATAAAAGTGAAATAAAACACAAAGAAAGCAATAAAAAATGTTACCTTGAAGTTGTAGAGCTCTACATTACCGACACATGTAAAAATTGATTGAATGGATATTTACCTGAAACAAACAAATAAAATATTTATACCATTTGATAGAACAAGCAATTTCACAGTAAAATTAATTAAACTTCGACCACATCGTTTACTTAATTAAGTAAACACATTATTCCTAATAAAATAATTAAAACATCACATCTATCCATTCGATAGTTTCAGAAATTAATTAATATAAATCACGTCTATTATTTAATGGCGCGATGCAGTTTATCTTTCAGTGAGCGTGAAATATCTCAATTTGCGCGACACAAAAGCCCTTCGGGTGTATTACCATGAACGTATTCGTATCATATCGGAAGGAGAGAGCGAACACCTCGGAACGAATTATTTCGTATTTCACATTTCACATCGCACATCTCAACTAGCACTCTGCATTTCCATCGGTAAAATACGAGTAGAGTAGGGACTGCAGGGCACCGCGTGAAACACAAAACCAGAAACGCGAAACCAGCGCAGGACATGGGACACGAGAAAGCAGCGAAATCAAAGAGAGCGTATCCATTGTACGCGCATATCGCGATGAAATCGGGAAACGCATCTGGATGCATGGCTCCCTTGAGTGCCGCGGGAGTAGGTACCCGTTCGAAGATAATACTATGATTACATTCAAACAAATGGTTGGTGCTATTGGATTGGTGAATTATGATTAGGATATGTTTAAAAATTAGATTATTCATAGCTTTGGTTGCAGAAAGCTATCAAAATATCAAAATATAAGATTTCTGAGAGTAAATATATAATATTTTATGTATGAAAATCAAATTAATCTTTTTTCCATTAGGAATAGCTGAATATTTGATATTGAGAGTAAAAATTTGTTTAAAAATACAAGAAAATGCATTTTTGAAGAAAAAAAACAAAGAAAATTTGAATATTTCGTTACAATTTTAGCAAATTCACAATTTTTTTGTTCATAAAATTGATAATATTTGGTATAAAATACGAAATGCTGATTTTCAAAGTTTTTCATAAAATTAACTAAATTATTATATTAAAATGTAGTTTCTAAGCTGCTGGTGGGCAAAAAAATATGTTTAACTGTTTGTATCTGGAGATTAATTCATAGCTCAACGTGTTACCGAAAGCTATGCGTTAGTGCACTGCCCACCCGCCTAACAGATCGGTTTCCCTTCGTTTACACACGCGTAATTGTCGAATTGTCGAGTGCGCTCCGCAGTGCATTATTCACCGCGCGGAGAGCGCAACACCCACAACCACACCTGCGGGCACGCAGAACTAATAATAGACATCCGAGAGCGGCGAAGGAAACGCCGGCATCGCGAGTCGTAAATTATTTACTCATGCATGCAATGTTCATAATAAATCAGGCGACGTGTCTCAATGTTTGAATAATGTACGCGTGCATTCAAAAAAATTAAATTTTACCTTTCCAATCGCAATCTTCTATGTATCTCTCAGAAAAAATTAAATTATCTTTGTGTTTATGTTGTTGCATTTAAGCTGAATGCGTAATGTGTTTACAAATCGCATCGATCGAATTACAAGCGATTGAAGCGCATTAGGAAGTTGCCGAATGCTGAATGAATGTTTAATAGCAAATCGTCGAGTGGCACTTGTGCGATAGGATCGCAATTAGCGGGCTGCCATTGTTGGAATTCGAGAATTCAGCCAACCTGATCGAGAAGAGGGTTGGTAATCTATGGAAGTGTTGGGAAGGTGGTAGTGGAGGAGTGCAAATCGACGATTCCGAGCTAATGCGACGACATTAAACTTTAAGGACCCAGCCATCAAGTATTAAACGTGTCAGGCTGGAAAGCCATCATCGGTCATCACCATCCAAGCGGAATATCAACGTCATTAAAATGCAACAAATATTTTGTTATAAACCAAACGAAAATCTTGTTTTGATAAGTATGGTGATTTTTCCTGCTTTCTTCAAGGGGTCATTTTGATTCCATTAGAGCAAATTGAGGTCTTTATCGTCGCTGCGTGTGCAGGACCCTTTTTTCGGCCCTTCGTCGTGTTTGCACAGAAACTCCTCGAATTCATACACATCCCCCACCTGCTTGTTACACAGTCCACCCAAAATGGAAGCCAGAGAATTCCGAGTTTGTATACTACATGACTATACATTGTACTGTGTAAACCCAGGACGCATAACCTAACAAACCCACCCTCCTGTAGTTTAAATTCATTACATTCATCGCATTCGCCACGCGCCAGCCGAAAAGTGCACATGCATGCAAATGCAAATGCGTTTTAATAAAGCAACGCACACGTAACCTCAATACAAGGATAGTTGTGTGTAGTTGTGTTGTTATTTGAGTTCACAAAGTTTTTGTAGGAAACTGCAATCAGTGGAAGCGCGGCGAGATGAGAGGAGCGAGATTGATTGAAAAGGGCGTGTTTTAGTATGCTAAATAGCGTTAACGTTGCATCTGAGGCGCGGGATGATAGATATCGTCATCGTGAGCATCGATGATGGCAAAGTGCGTTCGTGCGGCTAAACGGCGCGTCGATGAGGCGGCGCGCAACGCAAATTTCGGATTTCCACCGACATTCCACTTTGACGTAACGGCAATTAACATCGCGTAATTAAAACGCCTTCGAGGTGTTAAATGGAAATTGGATGCCTGAATTACGGCTCGATTAAAATGCTAATTTCGAGTGCAAAAGTTCAAAAAATCAAAAATTCATAAATAATTACAACAAAATTGAGAAAATCACGGAAATTGTATAGAAATTGTAAAATTATTATTTTTTGCGTTTTATTATGTCTAGAGAAAGGTATAATTAATACTTTCATATAGTATAAGGTAATTACTAATTACTTTCCTATTTCTTGAGTCTATTATGTACCAAATTCGCCAATAAAATTCTCAATTATAATTTAAGGACGTTTAAAATGCTGATAATAAACTATCGCGCCATCTAGAATCACATTATATAACTATAATCATGATTTATTACTATTTTAACTGTCATTCCTTATTTCACATCCTTCCAGTCATTTTTTCGCAACAAAAAGTACCCTATGTGCTATTCCTACATCAAAACTATCTCTGCATAAAATTTTATAAAAATCTATTCCATAGTTTTCACGAGAAAACGATACAAACATACAAAATATCACATTTATAATTCTAGTTAGTCTAAAGTTTCCTGTAAGTCATTTAACTACAATGAATTAAACTACTTTCAACAAGTTTTATTATTCCTACGTGTAATTTACTCCCAATACAAAAATTTTGTAGCTAATGCTCGAAAACTTAAAAATAAAAAACACTAAACAGAGCTTTATGTCGATTTAATTGGCCATTAGAAACGATTTTCCCCAAGAAAAGAATTCTAAAGCACCTAAGAACTATAAGAAGACAAGTCTGTGAACTAAATCGACTCTCCTTCATCCCGACGCAACACAATGAAGCACATTTACGGAAGTTCAACCAAGAAAAAAACTCGCCAGGCTCAGAAAACAACTAAAACAACAAAACTCCACAACTTCGCCAACGTGCCCTGCTCATTCCACGGTAATAAGATGATTAATAGTACAATTTATAATAAAAACTCTTGAAAAACTCGGCTGGCACATTTTTCCTATCCTGTTTATCTAAATTTTCCGCGCCGCAACTTTTACGTGCTCGATGTTGATGTTTTATTGGCACCTATTAATCTTTCACCTTCTGCAAACGTTCAAAGCGGTTTTTCATCAATTTTTCAACGCATGCCGTGCCTGTTTTATTTGCCTGCAGTCATTTTTCGCTCTCCTTCTTTTTTCCCGTCGGTACGCGTTTTGCGTGCATGCGTTATTATGCGGCGTGTATCACCCGACTTCCGGAAGGACCCTCATGCATTTCCCAGGGCGGCGCTCCAATTACGCTGATGGCTTTCTTCGTCCTGCAGCGCGCACTTCTTTTTATTCCTTGGGGCCTGCTTTTTTCTAGATTCTGATGGTAATAAATCGTCGGCAAATAGCAGCAAAATAAAGACAGAAAAAATTATCCTTAAAATATCCTCGAAAATTAAAAGTATCTAAAGAATGAAACATATTTCATTCTTATCACGTATTTTATTGAGAGAGAAACCAATGTAATCTAGAAAAGAGCACAAAGAATAGAAAGACAATTTGTAAGCGGAGATTAATATTAAGCAACCTAATCAAAACTGCTTTGTTCTTTATCCCCGAGTCTATTCTTTCATCTTATTCGTTATCTTAACTCACAATAATCGTTTTTTCTTCCCCAGCGAACAATATATTAAAATATCCGGACTATATTTTGGTCATATTTCGTAAATTCCTAAAATTTCTCAGATTGTGTTATTTTTGGCGTCTTTGTGCACATTTCCTCAGACGGTGATCGTACGTGGTCGGCGTGTAAAACCAAACATACCCAGCGATGCTGGCGACGCGAGAAGATTTGCGATCTGTTCCTCTCGGCGGGCAGTGAGCAAGCCGCGACGTTTCAATTCGATTTGATTCAATTGAATTTTATTCTATTCAATTTTCCATCCCGGCGCAGGGAGCGAATCCTTTGCGTGTGCACACTTCTACACGTTTTTATTGAAGTGGGATGCCCGGGCGTATCATAAAATTGCAGCGAATCAGAAACAATGAAACGCAATGAAATTGATACAGTAATAGTGAAGTAGCCGCCGCGCTGAATTTTGAGTGAGTGTAAATTTAATCTGCTTTCAATTTAATTTCTAGCGTACATAAATATTTGCAATACTATGCAATATTTTTGTGAGCGGGATTAAAACTATTGATTAATGAAAAATATGAAACAACAAACCGAAATCAAAGAGTACAATATTTTAATTAAAAATCAAATATTGTAAAACTTTTTGCAAAATATAAAAACAATTATTGTTTACTGTGGAGTTTAATCAAGTAATCATAATATTTTGTTTATTATTTATATCAAAGTCAGCGATAGGTAACAAAACAAAAAAAACAATAATTTCGATCAAAAATTCAAGCATAATAAACGAAAAATTCGACAATAAATTTTTAGTCATTCATAATAAAAAAGAAACAAAATGTTGCATTTACCACTTATCAGACAATTTAAGAATACATCGCATGTGTTTCAAAAGTATTCAGTCTCAGCCGCGGCGAAAACTGCGCAAGATACTAATAAAGATGATCCGTTACTGAAATGTCTCGCCAGCAAAATCGACGAACACCGGAAAAAAGTGATCGACTTTCGTAAAGACTGCGGACATGTGAACGTTGGAAAGATTTCTGTGAATCAGGTCAGTATTAACTTATTAAATATTATTTTTAAAATAAAAAAATTAAAATTTTAATTAAATTAAGATTTACGGCGGTATGAGAGGAATGTTAGGCCTTATCACCGAAACATCATTGTTATCACCTGAAGAAGGCATACGTTTTCGCAATAAAACCATAGAAGATTGTCAGAATGAGATGCCAAAAGCGGAAGGTGGATGCGAACCGTTACCGGAAGGTATTTTTTGGCTGTTACTCACTGGAGATATACCAACACAAGAAGAAGTAATTAAATATATCATTAATTAACAAAATAAGCAAAAAAAAAAAATTAAAACAAAAAATATATTTAAGGTGCAATTTCTCAGTTGTGAATGGGCAAGACGCTCAAAACTTCCGGAGCATGTTGACACGATGCTAGATTGTTTGCCAAAGAATGTCCATCCGATGTCACAATTAAGCGCGGCTATTTGTCTGTGTAATACAGAAAGCAAGTTTGTAAAAGCTCTCAATTCGGATAAATTTGATAAAAAAGAAGCGTGGAGAGTAAGATGACAATAATTTTGACTAAAATTTGTTTAATACTGATTTATAATTATTTTAAGCATGCCTATGAAGATACAATGGATTTAATTGGAAAATTGGTCCCGATATGTGCAAAAATTTATTTAAACACTTATAAAGATTCGAAGTACAAAAATGAACCGAATCCGGATTGTTGTTGGACGCAAAACTTTTGCAATGCAATCGAAATGACAGATCCACAATTTGTGGAATTGATGAGATTATACTTAACGATACATTGGTAAAAAACGAAAATATTATTTAAAAAATGTTTTTTAATGTTTATGTGGGATATTTTTAATTTAGTGATCATGAAGGTGGAAATGTATCAGCCCACACAACTCATTTGGTTGGATCTGCGTTATCCGATCCCTATTTGTCATTTTCCGCTGGTCTAAATGGACTGGCAGGACCTCTGCACGGTTTGGCAAATCAAGAAGTAAGCAAAAAATTGTTTTATTCTGCGAAAAATATTAAAATATTAATTTGTTTTAATTTTTTTTATAGGTTTTGGTATTCATTGAAGAATTAAGAAGTAAAATAGGAGATACTCCTTCTGAAGATGAAGTGAAGAAATTCGTGCAAGATACTTTGGCCTCCGGAAAAGTAATTCCTGGTTACGGCCATGCTGTTTTAAGGAAAACTGATCCCAGATATACATCACAAAGAGAATTTGCACTTAAACATTTACCTGATGATCCGATGTTTAAGGTAAAATTGAGTTTTTACAAACTTCGAATATTTTTTTCTAAACTAATTTTATTTTAGATTGTTGGAACACTGTATAAGGTTGTTCCTGACATATTGAAAGGTCTAGGCAAGGTGGCAAATCCTTGGCCTAACGTTGATGCACATTCAGGTGTATTACTCCAGGTAGGTTTGAATTTAACTTTATAGACTCGAAATAAAATGAAAAAAAAAACATTTTTTCTACTTCCATCTTGGAAGTGCCAGTTTTTCCACAGTTTCTAGACACAAAAAGTGACACTTTAATCACGGATCGGCAAGGCCGTGACTAAAGTACTTTAATTGGAAGTATAAAAATTCAAAAATACCGAAACCTAAAACTTGTTAAACCTGTTAAAGTGCCATTTAGCGCCCTGTATAATCAATTTACTATTATTTGTACATATTTTTAGCATTATGGCATGACTGAAAGTAGTTACTACACGGTTTTATTTGGTATGTCACGAGCATTGGGTGTCCTAGCCTCCCTGATCTGGGACAGAGCTCTACTCTTCCCCATTGAACGCCCAAAATCTATCACAACCGATGCTCTAATCGAACTTGTGACCAAACTAAGCGAAGGTGAAGATAAAAAGAAGAAGAAGAAAGACTGCTAACATTCCTACCTAAATTTCATAATTTTAGTCATAGAAATAAAAATTTTCTTCAACTTTGTCAAGCATGAATTCAGTTGCAGAGCGCACTGAAGGTTTGAGTGTGTAAATTGTGAGATTGCGAGTGCGAGGAAAAAAACGCAATCAGAATGCAGATTGCTGGCGGTAATTAGAAGCGGCGACTGCCGTGCGGTAAGTGCTCACGCGGGGGTGGTACGGAATTAACGCCACCGCACCCCATCCCTCTTCCAAAACCCTCTAACTCTTGCTTACCACTAGGCAAGCGAGTAAAATGTTGTGATTTTTGCATTGCGGCGCAAGCGTCGGGTTAAAAATAAAATGATAAACAGGGAAAAAATAAAAACAGGAAACAAAACAAAGCGACCGCAGAAAAAATACTTCAGGGAGTGTTGGCGAAAAAGTAAAAGAAGACAAAACCACAAAAACAAAGAGGAAAATATTTCAACACAAGAAAACATTTTAACTTTCAACTAGCCACGAAAAAAGTTTAATTAGTTCGCTTTTTTCTGCAACTTAACAACTCGTTGCATCATTGAGTTTGTTTGTGACGCTTTAACGCAAAAACCAGTGAACCAATTTTTATTAATTTTGGTATGGAGATAGTTTTGACCAAGGAAAAGCATATAGACAACTTTTTGATGTAAAAATATAACTTGAAAGGTGTAAAATAAGGGATGAAAGTTGCTATGTACATTTAATCACACTTATAGTTATATAATTCGAGTCGAGAGGGCGCTAAAGTACATTATTTGCATTTCTCTTTCGTTAAAATAAAATAGAAAATGTTATTTGCGAATTCGGCCAATAATAGGACCAAGAAATAAACAAAAATAATTAGTTAAGCTATTTTTGTATCAAAATGTACGTGAACAACGTTTCGTGCAAAAATTTGTTTGACATAAATATGTCACCAGAGTTTAAGGTGTAAAACTCAGTCGGAGTCTACGGCAATAAAATATATTTACGGCTGAAATCTGAAAACGCTTCTAAGATAATTACGATTTTACGATTTGGTGTGTGAATTTGCCTCGCGACGTCTTCTCAGTACTCCGAGTCTTGAGCACGATCGTATGTCCCATAAAATTTATTTTATCCAAAACGAGACCAAGGCGAATAAAAGCAAACGACGCGAATTCTCGTGTCTCTTAAAGTCACACACGAAGACAACAAATGAAGATGGATTATACGCAAAACTAACTCAAGAAAATCTCAAAGACTAAAAGATTTCATATCCATTTCAAAAATCTCTGAATAAAATATTAAATTTAGCAAAGAAATAAAAATACATTTCGTTTGATTTCCAGGTGTAAATACATGAAAATCCAGTTTTCGCCGATTTCACTCGCCGTCTCACATCTTTTTGATCTTATTTTGATTTTGTTTTGTTTTTATTTGCACATTTTATGCCCTCTCAGCCTCCCCTTGAATTTCCCGTCGAGGGTTCTTGCCTTTAAAGCTACCGTGCGCAGCGCCAATAAAAAACAGAAAAAGCAAAGGTTAAAGGCAGAAATCGGCAGATTGAGTGTTGCGTGTGTATTGCGGGTGGAGTACACAAGGAAGTAAGTAAGTCCTGGAATCGAACGCCAGCCAGACAACTACACAGCGAAGAAGAAGAAAAAGCGATAAAATCGAGGTGAAACTGTGCAGGCCACATACAACTCAGTCGCATTTCGAGACTTTTCGAGTGCAGGATGAAGCGACGATACAGCTACAAGAAGCCGTGAGGGTGAGAAACGTTGGCAAGCAGGGTGGAACTCTGAATGACACGCTCGTTAAAGACTCTTGTCGGATTTCGATCGATTTGTAACAAACTACTCCCGAAAAAAGTTAAAAAAACAACAATAAATAAATAAAAACAAAATCAGTCATAAAACACCTAAAAATATTAACCCTCCGTCGGCATGTTTTTAACGATGAAATTAAATTTTAAAATTTTAATGAAGCGAATTTCACACAAGGGATGCATCAAAACGCCGGGCATTGTTTGCGCATCGTGCGGCGCATCATTAAACGTATTTCATAACAAAAAAATCTACAACCCTCTAACCCTGCGTTATGCATTCAAGTGCGTTTTTATTGCAACCCCAGTGCGCTAACGAATGCAGCAGGAGCAATCGTAACGACGAAACGATGAAAAGACTGCCAACTCAAAAACTCCACACACGCGTCTGCCATTAATGTATTTTTTATTGCGTAAGGGGACCACCGGAAAAAACAAACAAACACACGAAATAAAATTACAACAACATCAACACAGGAAATTTTAGGCTTAGATTTTGTGGAAAACCGTTTGAAGTGCAGATATTTAGTCAAAAGTTGGTGGAAATACTTTGAATTGAAGTAAATTATAAATTATAAACGTTTTTCGCTAAAGGGCTTTGCAGTTCGACGTGAATTTCAATTTTATTCAAGATTCACCAGTCGAGGCTTAAACTTCTGTCGGTATTCAAACGTTTCGAGTTGATTTAAATGCGTCGTCAAGTGGTGGGAATGCATCAAAAGCGAATGGAACATCAAAAGTCACTTTCGATATCTTGGAATTCAAAAAATCAAACAAATTCAATGCCTAAATGTATTTAACTTGAGTTTTTAAATCAAAAACTTTAATTTGTGAAGAAAAAACAAAATAACTTCAAATTAAGTTAATAAATTTTCATGACACTGATTAAATTTTATAGCGCTTATTATTTTGTTTTATATTTTCTAATTCCTTTCGCCTTATTTCGCCTTAAAGTTTAACTCTCAACAATACGAACTTTTCCGTTTTCCTGCCCCCGCCTGCCACTCTAGCGTCCGTTTTGTTCTTGTTTTCCGGCCTGGTTTTATTGTACCTATTTTCCGTGCGCTTGTTTTACGTATTTCCCGACGCAGAAACTTGTAATACTTGTACAACTTCAGGGCTTCTCGCATGACTTTCCCGAAAGTATTAAGGACTTTCCGGCGGCTCTCAAGACGCTTTCATCCATGCACATACACAACACGTCGACTTCATAAAAATTCTCAACTTTATATCGCCGTTACAATTCTTTTAATAAAAAACAACTTATAACACGATTGCAATTGACGAAAATTGCACATGGGAGAATTAACATTATGTAAAATCTAAAATAAATATTTAACTAATAAAAAACCATTGGGAAACGAAGTGGAACAGACAAATAAATTTGTCAAACGCGCCGCTGTCGCCACCCGGTGTGCGCGCCGTCGACTGAATCGAATTAAAACAAATGAAATGTACAAACAGACAGACAGGACCATTATACTCTTGTTACTCGCTACTTACTGATTTGAATAATAAACAACCGACTTACAAAGCAAACAAAATCATCAAATAAATTTACATTTTTATTTTATTCACCTCATAGATTTTATTACACCCAACCAAACTGTGTAAATGTATTACAAATTCTAGTTGTGTTTCGGTTGGAGTTTGACCGGCCGAAACGAATTTAATTGCAATCTGCGATGCGATTGATTAATTACGGAGCGCGTCCGCACGTCTGCACCGCAGGACCCGACTGGATAATCCGCATGTCGAATGCACGCTGCCCAAAAATCCCAAAGTAAAAACAATCACGAGTCATTGCCAATATTAACAAAAGGAAGCATTTCGTGTAACATAACGAAGAAAAACGATTTTTCACGAGAAAATTAACGAAGATAAATGACACAAAACAGAAATAAATATTTTTTCTGAGATTTACTTACATATTTCTTTGGATTACAGCAAAAATTGAAGTATTTTACTAACCTGAAACAAAATAAATTTAAAAATTAGATTTTCGTATTTTGCAGTATTCTGACATATTGCACAATATTCACAAAGGATTTCCCAGTGTGACGCGAGGGCAAACACTCGCGGAATTGGCTCGAAATCCGCAAATCCCTTGCAACTCTCGAATTTCCCGGCGCCTCCACCATCTCGACAATTCCCACCCTTTCCGGCATGATACCCCGAGTCCAATCAAGACTAAACGACGTGCATGTCCCCGACCGCACGACGCGTCCACATAATGAGAACAGATGGAAACTGGAGGATACTCTACAGGATGATGCAGCTGGACATTGTTGAAGCCGCGAGGCGTGTTGTCCACTAGAGACGCACACACATTGACAAAGCTGTAATTGCGCGTTAATGACGAGCGGATGCATCGCGCGCGCGGACAATACGCGCATTAGCACATTAACCCTGCGGCGTGCGCACACAATTCGTGTTTATCTCTAATCTAAGCTCGGTGCGAATAATATTGAGAGAGGTGCGTCGAGGTGCATTGTTCGGCCCAGAACCGCAACCAGCAAATTCGCAAATTGAGTTTGCCGCTTGCAATCGAACGTTTTATTTGGGAAATTATCATGCAAGTGTTTCAATTCGGATTGCATACAAAGCTCTGATAATTGTTTTATCAGTGGGGATAATTATTTTAATCAAATTTGTGTTAAAATTAATTTTAATTGATTTTTTTGTGGTAAAATTGATCGAAAATTAAATTTCACTGTTCAGGCATTAAAAAATTCAAATAAATTAATAGAAAACACATTTAAAACAAATTTGCAACCGATAATTGATTTGAATGTGTTTATTATTAAAAAACTGTTGTTGCGAAGCGATTAAATGCTGAAAAGTGATGAAAAGTATAGTTGGATGCATAATATTCAGTAAAAAAAGATTGATTGTGCGTCTTAATAACATTTTAAAATATTTTCATCATAAATATCACTGGATAAAGTTATTTTAATCAAATTTAAATAAAAATTAATTAAATACAATTTTTTAATCGAAAAAATCGATAAAAATTAATTTTACTAACTCGGAAATAAAGAAACTCTAACAAATTAATAAAAACTAAATTAAAAATGCATGTGTGTAACCGCTAATTGATTTAAAGGTGTTTATAATTACGAAATGCTTTTACTAAACGTTTGAAACGCTATAAAAGTGTTGTAAAGTATAGTGGGTTGCATAACACGAAATAAAATCATCGATTGCACATTTTTATAGCATTTTTCCGACACGTAATGCACGCGAAATGTTTAT